GGGGGGGGGGGTATAAAGGGGGAGGTAGCTGAGCCTATACTAAGTTTACTGCTGGGCTGGGATGTGTGAGTGTGTGTGTGTGTTGTGTTCGGAGGCCCTATCTGGATCCGAACAGGATCCGAACGAACGATTCCGCGACCAAAGTAGAACCAGGCCCCGAACAATATTTTACTACTTTTCATATGGCAATAATGATCATTGCCATTTCATTGTGATGAACCGCATTTTGGCAAAAAGAACTGACTTAAGCGTCTGGGCTCATTGCTTCAAATGCACCCAGAAAATGATATCCTTAAACCAAGGAAAACACATTTAAAAAAAGCAAACAAGGACACTTTTATCTTTGCTTTATAAGATATTTTCATAGTTTTCAAGGAACTTTCCTAAATCTAACGACAATTTTTCCTTTGTTTTATATTTGTCACATGCATGTTCATGAAAATTTCCTTGTATTTTTTAAAAGCGAAAATAGCCTTCTTGCAAGGCATGTCGCCTTAATTTAAGGATACCATTTTCTGGGTGTGCTATCCGTTCCAAATCCGTAAGTGAGAAATAGCGTCATTATTAAAAGTTTTGCGATGACCGATGTGACTGGTCGCCCATCCAGTTATTGAAGCAGTCCGGGTGGCGGTGGCAGTGCGCCGGGGTCGTGCGGGGTCGCCGTTCAGCCCGGACCAAAGCGTTTGCTTCGCACGCCATCCTTCCGTCCTTCACACTTTCTCCGCGCTGAACTGCCGCGCGGCGCGTGGGAGGAGACCGGCGGCCGGGCGGGGCGGGGCCAGGCGGGCGGCCGCATCACGATACACGATTTCAATAAATTTCTCGAGGCGATATTGTAACGTGTGTGGTGCAGGCAGAAGGGGAGGGCGGCGGGTGCGGCGCGGGCGGGAAACGGGAGGAAAGTAGCTCGACACAATGCCAATAGCACTGAGAAAATAACCCTATTTAGATATCAACGTGTGCCTTTCGAGCGGGTGTATGCAGCAGAAAGAAAGAAAGAAAGAGTGTGCCTTTCGAGCGGGTGTATGCAGCGAATGCCCACACTTCCGTCTAGAAGAAGACGTGTCTTTCGCGTCAACGACCGTAAGCACCCCGGCCGAGGCAGCTACTGCCGTTTACTGGGTATTGATGTCCCAGGCCTAAGTGGTCGGCGCGCGAGAGGCAGGAGGACCTGAATAACAACAGATCCTCGATACGTCACGATAGCATCGCTGGCACGTCACACGTAGCGAGGTGCAGTGGACGTGGCTCCCATTGGCTCCACCCGCAGCACTGCATCGGCACTGTGCAGCAGCTAATAGAGGCAAACTTTGGCGCAAGTTGTTGTACTCACTCTAAAAAGCGCAATGTTTGAGAGGGAGTAAAGATTGACAACAGAAGACTTACTATATTTTGGGCAATATTCCATGAATTTTTTTTCTATTGCAGAAAAGTTTTCTTTGTATTACGGTTGAACAAAATTCTTTGTAATACAATAATTTTCTTTGAATTAAGAGTGTAGGAAAACTCAAATCGTAGTTGCAAGTAGAAAAGTGAAAAAAAGTGTGGCAGTGCGCTCAAATTTATGCCTTGAAAAGAAGCTAAAGGCCCAAGTCCTGACTACGAATTTTCCAGTGCCCGATCCCTGGAGTGCGAATGCCCGGTCGTAGGGCACAGATGATTTGGTCCCTGACCTTTGCCGCATAGGTCGCACCGGGCAGATTGGTGCTTGACCGCCGCTGGTCGCCCTTGGCGCTGGCCGCTATGACGCCCGAGTGCAATGATGCAGCCGCGAGTGTCCCACGGATCCCACGGCAGACCAAACAGTCGCATTTGGCGCGACCTCGCGCGGCGTCTTTAGTTGCGCCGAGAACGAAGAAGAGGAAGTAGCAGCAGCAGCGGGCAACTTTTGATTTCGAGGCGATAGTGATCTGAACCTTTCTCCCGGCCGCCTGCGCCCCGCCGCCGCGGAGGTTCACACACTCGCACGAGAGGAGAGGCACGTGCTCCACGTACAAATCCTCGCACCTCCCGGAAGCAGCCACCTGCACCGGCCACGTACGGGGAAAGGGGGCAGCCAAATCACTTCGGCGCAGGGCGCCGGGTTGGACGGGCGCTGTTACACATTCGTTGTTTTCAAAAGAAGTGGCGCTACGAACAAAATATGTAGAAGTGCGATTTGCATTGGCAATGTACCCCTCGTCCATGCGCTGCGCTCTGGGTAAAGGCCTTTACCGATATGCACCGGTTTTTAAGATCTTGCCCAACATTCTCTGTGTCGGTCTGTGGTCATATTGTCCGACTTTTACCTCCTGGAAGTGCCTCTCCCCAACCTGCACCTCCTCCTCCACATCGGGTCATGCCGGGCCTTCCTCTGCTGAGCGGGGCGCCGGTCCCCCACGGCCCAGTGCTCCTGTCCCGAGGAGACCAGGAGAGGGGACCCTCGGCCCAGACAATGGCGGTATGGCGCCTAATCCTGTCGGATCTGAGCCACCTCCTCGTCCATGGGCCGCCCGGGCCGAGCCATCCTCTCCCTCCCCTAGACGATGGCAATCGCCTCCTCACGACACTGTGCGACAAAGTGACATAACGCCCGCGGGGGGGCGGCCGTAGAGCACAGACTGACCAACAGACGAGCAGACAGACAGACACAGACCGACAGACGTGAAAGCAAGAAAGAAAGAAAGAAAGAAAGAAAGAAAGAAAGAAAGAAAGAAAGAAAGAAAAGGAAAGGAAAGAAATAAAAGGAAAGAAAGAAAGAAAGAAAGAAAGAAAGAAAGAAAGAAAGAAAGAAAGAAAGAAAGAAAGAAAGGAAGGAAGAAAGAAAGAAAGAAAGAAAGAAAGAAAGAAAGAAAGAAAGACAGAAAGAAAGAAAGACAGACGCAGACAGACGGACGCGACAGACAGACAGACAACGAGGTTGTGATTGATGAGAAGTTGTCCGCGAGGTGGATCATGGATACCTCGATGTCGCCACGTCACCCACATGCTCGCTCTGTCTGTCGCAGGCCCCGCCCCGCGAGCCCCGCCCCATGAGGACGGCCCCGTTGCAGCGCCGCCCAGCGGACACTGCAGGTGAGCGCTCAGTCCCGTGCTCGGAGTGTGTGTCTATTACACTCCAGTTTACGCCCGTTTTCTCTCCTTTCAAATAACGCAATTACCCGGGGAACCTTCCGAGCACGCCACACCGGAGCCCTCCTCGATAAGTTTATACAGGGCACACTCCCCCAAGTGTCAGGAGGCGGGGCGAGCGGCGGCCTGGCTTGCCCCTGCATGACTTATCGACCGGCTCAGTGCAGCAATCGCCCCCCTTTGCGATACTGCGCTCCAAACGAGTTCCAAATAATTAGCGAATCTCAGCAATCTGCATTAGATTGAGTTTGCGTATCAGTCGAAGATTTACTTACTCCACTTCTTTATAAGCAGTCAATAAAAGGCGACGCACGCGAACACGAGTCTCCTCGTTGCTGAATTGCGGAGCTACGCGACGCTTTTCGTTCTTTGGAGGCGCTCGAGTTCTCTTCTTCATCTAAATGTTCTGCTACCCTCAAATGCAGTCATATGCAGGAGCAGAAAACCTTCAAATTAAAGGGGCATATTCTTTTCCCCTTGACCAGTATCTGCCCTCAGTGGGTCCTATCTGCTGTAGGCCAGCGGGAGGTGCATGCTCCGCGCGCTGCCCCATCCCGACCAGAGCAGTGCATTGCGGTATATTTTGCGCCGCTTTTGTGACGTAAACGAGCGAGCGATCAGCTGGGGCTGGGAGCGTTGGGGGAGGCGACCGAAGGCGTGGCGCGGCGCGGCCGGGGCTCGTCATGATAATATCGACGGCCTGAGAGGGAGGAGCGCGAGGAGCGGTCGGCGGTGCATCTTCGGGATGTCATCACTTCGACTATATCCTCTCCTCTCTACCCC